TTGTTGCTAAGCGATAGATTTGTTAAGTGAATTTTGCCCCATTTTGCAACCTTTCTTGTCCCATTTATTAAGGGAATCGCTGCAGTTGTCACGTTAGTAACACAGTAGTTAAGTGAATCTAATTGACTTTGCTTGTCAGAAGGCTGCAAAAGATCACATGACCCCAGGGCACTGCAAACAACATAAATATGAGCCAGTTGCTAAGCATCTGAATTTTGATCATGTGACCATGTGGATGCTGCAATGTGAAAAATGGTCATAAGTCCCTTTTTTTCAATGTCGTAACTTTGAATGGTCACTAAGCAACTGTTGTAAATCGAGGACTACCTGTAATAACCTTCTACAGTGTTTTGTTGGAAGCATTGTAGTGCTGTTAGGCTTAAAGTGTATAAATAATCCCTACATCCACAATGTACAATCAAAATATGGCTCTCCCTGGGGCTACATGATGAATTCTCTACAGCTTGGTGAAATATTTCTCTTCCCCAAATCTGCAAGGAGTTTCAAAATATCCTGTCTTGAACGGATTTCTGCCTGCAGTATTTGCTTTGCTTATGAATAGAGCTATCTAGATAGTTGGTTTGCTCTTTCACTAAGCTCTTTATCTTCTTAAATGCTGGCATCTGCTGTGGTTTATTAAGAAAGACTGGGGACTGCTTTCTGCCTCTAAAGACATGTTTCTCCATTTCTCCTTTAGGGAAATATATTCTGCCTTTTTTAATATTTCCCGAAATATTTCATTCTTCTGGGATGGAGGGTCTTCCCATACTTCAATAAAGCATATTTTGATAAACTTAGAATTATTAGAATTACATGTTAGAAAAAGTTAAAGGACAAGAAATATGGGAATTTCTAAGAATGGAGTTAGCAAACATTTCCAGTCAGCGTGCGCATATATAGGAGAAGGAAGATAGCAGAAAATATATGGCTACCCCATATTTCAATATGCTTAGAGAAAATCTGTAAATCATGATAAGCATATATAGGAAACTAGAAAGAGGAACAGAACATGAAGAAAGTGGAACAGCATGAAGAAATAGTGCATATTTATAGCCTAGAATTGTGGAATTTGTCAGAAAAGCTAAGAATCAAAATGACCTAAGGGTTAGTGAAGAATATTAAGAACAACAAAAGTCTCCCCCCCCCAGATAGGTTCAAAATACAAACAATAGAAAATAATTTATAGCATAGCTCCTCAGTGCAGATGGTAATAGAATAATAACAAAATTACTCAATTTCTTTTTCTTCTAAGTCTATTTTGAGAACAGAATAATGCTTTCCACCGGGCTACTGTGAAAGTTTCCACCTCGAACTTGTTGGAAACAGAATAATTGACCTTGAATTAGTTCGTATATTCAGGCTAGATGTACTGTAAATGAATCTGAAGTACAGTATAGTGATAATTAAAAATCAGCCTGAATGTATTTGGAACAAATCACATTTCACTTTGGGTAACTTCTCCAAAGCAATGACAAGATAGTCTATATTAGCAAGATAGATGACTTATAAGATGGATGACATTTGATGGCATATTAGGTAGACTCATTGCTGGCTTGAAAGAGTATTTGGAGATGGTGCATCATCTAGAAAGAGGAGATGCCACAGGGTTCAGTCCTAGGGTTTCACACACTTTAATTAATTGTTTGTGAAAAGCGATGGAAGATCCTGACCAAGCAATACTTTTATCAAATTTGTAGATGACACAAAATGGGGTGTGATAGCAAATAGAGTAGAAAACAATAAACATTCAACATGATTTTGATACAATAAAGAAATGGGTTGAAATAACAGACTGACATTTAATGCAGGCAAATGAGAACATTTCGGAAAGTATATGTGATGGTGGATATCTGACTTTGTAATAATATATGTGAAAATAATCTTTGAAGAATTATAATCACAGATTATCTATACAAATATAATTCCAAGATACTTTCGTTCTCTTTGTGAAAGACAAATTGGAAACAGTACTACTTTTAGAAGGACAATGTTGAATTAAAACTGTTTTACCAGAAAGACTAAGAGAGAAAGAGAGAGAGATTTAGCCTTTAGAAAAGATGATTGAAGAGAGAATAGCACTTTGAAATAACTGAGGAGGCATTAGATAGAAGATTAACATCTATGCTCCCAGAGTGCCAGGTACAAAACGAAGTTGCAAGAATTTGGCAGATTTCTGGAAAAAAACTTCCTAACAAAGTAGTTCACTAGATAAACAAATTGCTGAGGAAGGTGTACTTATCTTGAGCTGTCTGAAAAATTAGTCAGCTTTGTGTTTCCGTTTATCTTTAAAATTGCTGTTTGCAGATGCTGCTTTATACATTTGTAAAGTTTGTAAGAACTTTTTATTCCTTAATTTTTAAAAAGTAAATTTTGGAAGGTCACATTAAATATTAAAATTTTAATTTCTCATAGATTTAGTCTTTGTTGACTGGCTTCAGTTTATTCATCTCAAATTCCCAAACCAATTGATTTAAGCTTCTTGGACATTAGATCTACCCTGTAAAAATCCAGATGACTGAACTTTGAAACATCTTCTCAAGACCGGCTGCAGGAACTCAATTAATCCACCCAGGAATTAACTGGTGTGTAGAAGTAGGAATGTGTTCCAAGAACTTCGAAGTAAACATCAGTACTTCTTTTGGAAGAATTGTTGTCCTTCCTTGTGGCTGGGGTAAAGGGAGGAGTTGGAAGGTAGAGCCATCAACGAGTGGACTGTTGTGTATGTGTGATACGTGCCTGGTTGCACAGTGCTGCATGGCTGCTCCACCTGTCCTCAGTCTTTCCTATGCCCTCCTATCTCATAAGCATAACAAGTTGAGAAAAGCCAATCATATCGCCAGCCAAACCGACTGGCTTGCATGTGCTCTTGTTTGTGTACGTGCAGAAGCCGGTTTGCTGCAGAGAGGGCGGGACTGCAGCCAGAGTGAGTGTTCACGAACTGACACTGCCAGTCTTAGAATCAGATACACTAGAATGCACCACGGAGCTGTGCTCAAGAAGCCTACCACCGTTTTTTTGTGACAAGTCTGCTGAAGAAGAGCAAAAATGCTACTGTGGGATGCCAACTCAGAGGTAAGGAATACATTCTGAAAGGGTGACTATCTTGGAAATTGCACCTCTTTTGTAATGCTTGCCATTTCTTACTCCTTTGTTAATGAAAGAGTGGTGAATCCACACAAGGACTACGCTTCAAATGCTCCTCTGTTTTGTAGCCTCATGACCCGAGTCCTCTGTTGGAAGCAGGAACCGAAGTCAATCTAGCTGCTGCTGCCTTTGTTCAGTCACCAGCTCATCTGGCTGCTGGTGGAGGCCATGCCTTCTTCCTGCTTTGGCAACTCCAGATGGGAGCCAATCTGAACCAACAGGTACATTTTCAACTTTTCAGACCATGTAGCTCCAACGAAGCCTGTCTTATCCATTTTATGTTGGAAGGAACAGCCACTATCTGAGACTATGAACAAGGCAAATGTAACATTGAAGGCACATCTGAGTAATTTAGAACATTCTGTTTTACTTTGACTAGGATTGCCATTGAGTATGCAGTAGTACTAAATGAAATATCATGGTCCTGGGAATAGAAAAATATTTTGTTAAGAGAAGATATATTTATCTTAAGTTAGTAACTTCTTTCCAATAATATTTTTCAAACAACAAAAATAAAACCTGTTATTTTCAAACTAAGTTTGGTCATAAATTTTAGTAAACCCAATCCCGAAGAGTGTATGGTTTTTTAGCTCATCCCAATGAAGCTTTGTTTTAGCTTGGAAATAGTATCTCTAAGACAAGATTTTGGAATTGACAATCATATTACACTTGAAATTAAGCTTATTTAACCATCACCACCATCCCTTTAAAAATTAACACTGAACGATGATGAAGTGATTTACAAATGAATTTGGATTTACAAATGAAGTATTTTTTCTTTTTATTTAGGATTGGCTTGGAGAAGCTCCTATCCACAAGGCAGCTAAAGTTGGGAGTTTGGAATGCCTCACTTTACTCGTTGCCAGTCAGGCCAACATTGAGTAAGTTCATCCTATACTGATTTTATCAAACGATTTCACTGTTTTTTTCATTAAATTATATTTTCAATTGAATGTAACGTTTTCTCCCAATCTGACTTTCTGAAAGACTGCTTGTGGCAAGCTACTCAAAATGTGAAAAAGCTTGCCTAGTTTGTTCAACTTTTAATTTTAGAGTATTTTACAAAAATATCACTTTTGCTAATTGGGTGCAAGAAGCTTCAAATTATTTTTTTTAGTAGAGAATAGGTATTTAGGCTCCAATTCAGTACAAATAAATTTATACTTCAATCCACAGAAATTGAGTTTAACAATATATATANTCTCCACCTGCCTCGAGAAGGGGCGTATCAGGTAAGAACCAACACCCCATTTTCATGTATAATTCTGTTTCATATATCAGAGACAAGTCTAACAGTAAACTTATGGAAGTACACTCACATCCAATTAAAAAGATAGAGCCCCCCCTTACCTTAGAATAATATTTGTTAGCAGCTGTTAAATCTTGTTGGGTTCCTCGGCCAAGCTGGAGGCATCTGGCCAAGTAGAAAGAAGCCATTGCAAGTCCTCTGCTTATGTAAAAAGGAAGACAATCTGTTTCCTCTGCTATCTTTTCAACATTGTCGTTTTCGGTTACTCTATTTGGAAATGCACCATAAGGTTTAAAATTAGTAATTTCAGAACATAAAAGTATAATTCAAATAATTAGTAAGAACATTTTTGCCGACTTTTTGTATAAAAGTCTAACAGGTCATACCAAAATATGCCATTGTTTATAATGTACAGGTAGTCCTTGACTTATGATGGCAATTGGACTGGAATTGCTGTCATTAAGCAATGCATCTGTAAAGCACAACCATGTTGCCTAGTGATTATAGTCCCAGTTGCAGTCATTAATTGAATTCTACAATTGTTACGTGAAGCAACTTCCTGCTTTCCACACCCAAGCTCAATGGGGAATTCAGCAGGAAGTTGCAAGTCCCAGGCAGGAAAGTAACTGGCTGCTTCCAGGTGGGGGATAAAGTGAGGGGTTTGTGGAGATATAGGGAAGGGGTAGAGGGTTCATGAGAAGCACAGGTTGGGGAGGGTATGTGAAGGTACAAGGGAAGCAGAGCAAGGTGGGAGAAAGGGTGAGCAACTGACACTGCAGTGGTCAGAGACAGTTTGAGGATGCAAGAGAGGTATTGCATGGGTTGTGGAGGGTGCGGGGGAATGCACGGGAGGCAGCACAGGTCAAGGAAGGTGTACAAGGGTGCAAGGGAAGCACAGTAAAGGTTGGGGGGAAAGTGCAAGTGGCCTGTGGGGTGCAAGCGCAGGGGGACTGGGGAGAGTGCGCAGGTGGGAAAGACTTACCCAGCACCTAGCAATCTTCCCTGCTGGGGAAGTGTGTTAGAACTCCACATTGACTTGGGATTGAAGGATAAAAAAGTTTGGGGAAAAACCATAACTTTGTTTTTATAAATGATCTTTACCCCAAGATTATTGGCAACATCTACAATGCATAAATAGTTTGTGAACATACAGTACCATAACTTGCTGAGATGGCCAAATTAACATGTTTTATTAGAGAAAAGAAAATAGCTACAATACATTTGTTATCTTGTTCTATTTACATTCTTTTCATTTCTTTCTATTATTGTAAACTGCCTAGAGTAGCCCCACTGTGAGATAGGTGGCAAATAAATTGGATGGATAGATGATGGGAGCCAGCCAGCCAGCCCCTTGAATTGGACCTGGAAGCAAACTGGCCGCCAATGCAGCTTATGGAGCAGACTTGTAACATGTTCTAGGAGTGCACATAACTGCCTGCACCACTGCATTCAGCACCATCTGAAACTTCTGGATAATGTTATAGGGTGGTCCCTCGTAGAACGACTTGTGATCTATGATTTTGACAATTCGATAGGATACATTGTAGAAAGAAGAGAGTCACAAGGTAACTTAGAGAAAGAGATAAATATACAATTGTACTGTACTTACAACTACTGTAACAAGATCAGAAGCCACTTTATCTTTTTTATTCTATTTTTTTTCCTTTTTACACTTTAGATTTTTCTTAATACCTAATTTCTTATTTTTCCTTCTTACTTTATTTTAGATTGTATTATTTTTTCTTTTTCTTTTGAAACCTTTCAATGACATTAACATTAAAAAGAAAACAGAGAAGTTGCAAATTATGATCAGGTGATGACAGGTGCTGCCACCAGTATTAAGTTGTCAGGTACCCAGACTGATCATGTGACTATGGAGGTATTCAGATGGCAGGATCTTCAAGAACTGGTCATAATCACCAATCATTCAGCACCATCGTAACTGAACGAATAGTCATAAGGTCGAAGACTGCCTATACTTTTATGTACCGTATTTTTCAGAGTATAAGACACACCTTTTTCCCTCAAAAAAGAGGGTGAAACTCTGGGTGCGTCTTATTCACTGAATAGCTTTTTTTGGCCTCCCAAAACCCAATGGCCATGTATAGCCTTTAGGCGGCTTCCAGAGTGCTCCTGGGGGCTGGGGAAGGCAGAAATGAGCGAAAAATGGGCTGTTTTTTGCTCAATTCCCCNTTTTTTGTTGATAATTGCCATGCTTAATACAGCACTTTAGGAATTTGCCATTTAGGATGCAATTTTGTACATGTTGATTTAAAGATAAATTCTGAGCTCAGTGAAAGTAATTCTAGGCGTGAATATGTTAGTGATAGTTTTGTTGTTAGTATTCTTTTTGCACATTGCCTAAGTGAGTACTTGTTGGAAAAGTAAGTAAAATATTATGGTGGATTGAAGGAAGTTGGATTATTATGGGAAGAATAACAAGGAGCTACATAAGCAAGAGAGACCAGCGCTGAACTGTTACCTGCCCAGATTAATTTCTAAGGCTGCAATCCATTATATTGAAATTAGATTTTGTACACATGTGCACATGCTTAATTCAAAACAGATTCTACAGCTGAAAAGCAAATCTTTCTATTTATACAGATTTGAACTCAGAGCCATGTGAAAATGAATAAACATGAGAAATATGGATATTCAAAGCTCTGCAAAGAAAAACACGAATCTACAGCTCAATGCAAAATATTTTGAACAATGCCTTCTATGAAGGAGAGTGGGTTCTTCTTGAAGAAGATCTTTTCATACAATTTCTGCATGTGCACAATAATAACATACAATAATATTTTTCTACCATTGATTCATGTATCATTAATTTTGTGACTGGTGTATTGATGTTCTTTACTCATGTGAACACACAAATAAGCAAAGCAGTAGATAGTATTCTAGCAATCAACAGATTGTTCAGATTAAACAAATATGTATTATGTTGATAAAAATGTATTCTGTAGGTGTGCCTCTGTCAGCAAATTCTGTATAGAATCTTTTTGTAGTAACTTACACTAACTATACCTTCTTATTTTTGTTGCTGCGAATCTGAGATTGCAAATCTATTCAACATTACACTGGGAGCGTGCCACTTTCAAAGGATAGGTATAGATATGAGTTGTTAATATTCAATGACAAAAACAGGAAGCAATTCAAAATAGGATATAATCAGATTTTATTTGAAAAATAATCTTGTACATAATTTGTGCTCTGAAATACTAGAGCAGTAATTTTATTTCAATGGGATTATGAGAAGCATGATATTAAATACAAATAAACCATATATACAGAAAGCAGCTAGTTTATCACAACTATATCATTCAACGAGTGTATTCAAATACATTTTGGTCGCTGAGGTAGACACAGATTATAGTAAGCATCTTTGTTCCAGAAATCTGGACCCTTCCAGCCACACCAGCCCTGTGAAAAAAGGGAAGAGAAAATGAAATTCAGTGCTTTAATCCATTGTTGATGTGTTAGTGAAAGAACTGGTTTTATGTATACATAAAAAAACCTAAATTTAAAGCTATAAATAATTACAGTGACTCAGCAGCAGATTTATGCATTTTGGGATAATAGGATTGTATTTGGTTTATGTCTCTGTTCACTGGATACGTGTTTACCATGTAAATATGGCCAATAAACTTCCAATTATATATAAAATAAAGCGAAACAGAAAACAATGTTTGCCAGAGACAAAAAATTTTTACAAACTGAATTTGAGTAACAAATTGCCAGAAAATTACACTGAATTGATGGATGTATCTTTGAATTAATGAAAATTAGACCTCAAATAAAGGGGATATTTAACTATTTATAGTTTAGTAAACAGAATAACAAATTTATTTGATATATTTAGCATTAATTAAATATAACAGAATGTAGCAAAAAGAGTTTTTGATTCCATTTCAAGTGTCCACTATTAGAGTTTACATCTGTCAACAATATGCCTCATCTGATAATTCATTGAAAGAAATTATTAAATTTATTTGTTTAAAAGAAGATTAAGAATAAAGCAGCATACAAGGCTTAATCAAAGACAGAAACAATATGTTTATTTTCTTTAAACCATACACTCAGACACTATAAGCAATTCACTATTTGCCATACTTTCAATGACAATTAGAAAACAAAGGCAAACTCCAAATGGTGGAACAGTTCACCCAGATTGGGTCATCCTAGTTGGAATTTATGAAAACGAGAGTTTCAACACTGTTCCCGCTATGTAGGAGAACAATGTACAAATAACATATATATTCTGTTCTGGCTAAAAGAAAAAAAGATTCTCTGCAATAAAGAAAAACNTGGGAAAAACAGACATGGAGAGGATTGGCCTCTTTAGCGAAATGGAATATATTACTATTGGAGATAAATATGTCTCGACATATAATCGTAAGTACATTTTTCTATTCAGTTCAACAATACAGGAGCATGGATTGATCTCTCTATTGCAAATCCTTGCTGCATTAGACAAATTCAGCATGTTGGATGAACATAGAGTTAAAATGGAATGGTTGGGGTTGATTGATTTATGTTCACAATATACAAGGCAGCTACACTGGCACAATCTTCATTTTCTAATATGATTACAGATGTCCTACTTGATAAATAGATGACTTATTTCATTTGATTTATTCAGGGCACTACTATAATTTTGTGTTTTTACTGTGTCTCCCTAGAAAACTGGTATATTAGTCCTAAATGATTCTTATTCTTTGCTATCTTTATTATTGACCCTTAATTGCTTCAATTTTACACATTGTTCCCATTTGTTTAGATTCCTTTTACAGATTTGAGGGAAATGGGTTTTGGGTAGTTTATTATAGGGATGGATATTTTTTCTTGCCTTTTTTGCATAATTTCTTTAGGAATAGATGTTAAAAGGGTTTTGATTGAGAGTTTCAGATGGAATAACACATTCCTTGATATGCATTATTTTAGGTTTTATGCTGTCCTAAAAGGACAAACTACTGGTATGTTTTGTTTTTGCTTGGTTGTTTCTTTTGAATGTTCACTGTCAGTTGATTAGCCATACTTTAGGCAGTGAGATTCTCACATTCCTGGAAAAGGAGCATTCTCTCTTTCATTCTATAGTAGCACTAGATTTTCCAATGTGTAACATCTATTTCTGGGTGGAAAATTAAATCTTTAAAGAAAAAGGCCAGGTTTGAACAAGCACTTTTTTGTTCAAACTTGAGCATGCTATAATCTTTTTAATGGTCATATGATGATATGTATTGAAAACTGTTTCTAGAACAAGTATTGAAAACAATTCATGTTTTCAAATTCAGATTCAAAACAGCATATGTGAAAAATGTAAAGCAAAATACAACCTTCCTTGAGTCCAAGTCAATTTCTGATGACATTATTGACATATCCATACAGTTTCTAAGCTATTTTCCCTATGGCAGAATTAAAACAAATGACTGAATCAATGCTGAAATTATTCCCTTATTTTAAAGGCCCTTTTAATGAAGCTGCAAGCAAGAATAAACAAATGCTACCAGGAGGTCTTAAAGAGAAAGGAGCCACCCAAGCAGGATATTTTGATCCTCAGTTTTCAAGAGTTTTTGAAGGTGAAAGTTATTCAAATCCCGTTCAGTTAAGGAGAAGATACCGATTGGCTGAGGCAAAAAAAAACCTGGGAGCCAGACCCTTTCTTCCCACTAATGGAGATAAATTTCCGTAAGTTCTAAAAACGCCACTACTGTAATATAAAAGCTATATGGCATTTATCTACTTACAATATATTGATATTTTAAGTTTAAATGTATTTTAAGTATTCCTTTGATATCTAAGTTGCCACAAAAGCTGGCAGGAGATTTCATTTCCTGATAAACACATATTTATCACTGGACTTTCCATAAAGTTTTTGCTTCCATGATTCTAGTTATTCTAACCTTCTTTTTTCCCTAGATTTCCTCTAGTGCCACAAATACCTTTTTCCTCTAAGATGGTTTATTTTAATTTCTGCTAATTTTCATAAACACCCCAGAAATCATTTCTAGGAAACATTCTGAATATGAATGGTAGGAGTGGGGGGCACACATTGAAAGATGTAAGGAAAACTTATGAATATGGTTTTCTTTCTAACTGGGTGCTAAACTTGGTTAAACTCCCATATTCCACAATGGGCCATTGTGACAGAGAAATGATAGCCTATGAAAGTATTGGGAAAGACTATCTATTTTGGCATAACAATGCATCAGCAGGAGAGAAAGGATTACCTACAATATATTAGACAAAGTGCTTGCTCTGAAATAGTATGAGCAAGAAAAGAAAATCAAACTGCAAAGCACAACATACGCGGCCAACAATAAGTTGGATTCTTATAGTATTTCATTTTCCCTTAGTGTGATATGAACCTACTCACTGTGATTTGCATATGATGGGCATGCTTTTTAAATAATGGCTCCCAAGGATTGCAAGGATGTCTATTGTCAAACTATAGAATAGNAAATAAGAAACTGTATTTCACAAATCGCAGTACTAAGAAATTTTCCCAACCCATCAAAGGTGCAGCATTTCACAATCAGCAGTCCAGTACAATAGCTATCAAAGGTGGGGATTGGGTGGTGCATATACCTGCCAGAGCAGCAACCACCAAATGGAACAGAAATATTTTTTTGGATGTAATAAAAGGCAGCGGGTAAGTTGGGCTGTTCTGGAACGGGAAAATGCTACTTTGGGTGGGTGGAGGTCCCCATCCCAGCAGCCAATGGCATCATTCATTTACCCTTCTCCAAAGATTGCTGGGCTGTCCTCAGTGCAGGGGCAAGCAGGAAGTACAGCCATTAGACTTGATATTAGAACAAGCAAATAAAGAAAGGAAACTCACCATACCAGACTCTATTCCAGGTGGATTGAGATGTAGATGTGGGTTTCTGAGATAACCATCTTTAAAAGATTCATCAGGAAAGTGATAGGCATTAGCTCTTCGGAAATAAGGCCTATCAAGCGGTAGATTAAATTGTCCATGTAATTCCTAAATGCAAGAGAAACATGAACGAGGATGAGCAAGTAAATCAATAAAAGATCCAGACATTTTTCCCTGTTTTATAATGACCATACTTTCAAAATTAACATTGTTTTTATTATAGCTTAGTGAATTTTAAAAAAAACAGCAGGTTATAATATTAACCACTTTTCCCATGGTGAGTGAGTTTATCGAGAGATTACTTTGATATTTCTGATTCAGTAGGGGGCCATAAAGCTGTTTGCCTATATTGGTATAATCAAAACAATTTAGAAAATATAGCATACCAACCAAATAAAAGAGAGAATTGAAAGAACTAAAAAATCCATTTCAGAACGAGAAACCCATCACAAGTTTTAGGTGTGAAGAAAAGAAATGTCTTTAATCTGTGAGGGAGAGAGGTAGTTCCAAATGCTGATTGATAGATAATAAATAATCTAAGGGGCAATTTTTCCCCACTTAAGAACTTAAATATTGTAGTCCTGCTGAATCAGGCCAAGCAAGGGCTGTATTTGTCAACATTTTGTTTTTCACACTTGCCACTAGATAGTTCTGGGGTGTCCACAAACAGGAAGTGCACTTAGATCTTTTCCTAATGTTATTCCCACTACATTTGGAGATCTGCAGCCACCAGCTGGAGGTAACTCTGAGTCAGTCTGCCCTTCAGTAATGTATCCAAACTATTTTTAAAGCCAATCAAGTTAGTGGCTGTTACCAAATCTATAATAGAGAATTCTGCAGAATAATTGTGCACTGTGGAAAGAATAGACTATAATCTGCCATGCTGATCCAATGCTGAGGAACGTATTGATTGAAAACATGCAGAAGAAGCCTTCATTCTGCAGTTGATAGACAATGGCTAAAATGATGATGATGAATTGTGCACTGTATGAATAAGTGCTTTCCTTTGTCTATTGTAAATTTCCTTCCCTGAAATACATGCAGCTTCCTGCCCCATTCTTTTATTTTTTTATTTTCTTTTACCCACAAAAAAGTAAAATATCATACACAGAACCCATGTGTTAGAATCAAATCAACTTTTGAAATTCATACCCAGAAGAGGGGTAAAAGGGAATTATATATTAACAACCTTATTTGATTTTATGATCTATAAAAGTTTAATAACTATAAATATTTTGCTTAACATCAGATACCTTTCGGTAAGTCTCCAGCTGATCATCAGAAATGCCTGTAGGAAACGAAACTGTTACTAGATGCTTTTTTCCTGGTAACATGAAATGAAATTGTTCAGGCACCACAACTGATGTTCCTTTCATATGTTGCAAAATGCATCTTTCCATATCTGCTAGCTGCGTGTGAATTGCATTCACTAGGAGGCTTCTTACACTACAAAACAACAAGAAAGAGTAATTTCCCCCCATATGCTCTTCATTCAATTTTCTACACTGAGCAATATCTATAGACATTATATAACATATACTAGTAAAGATGTTTATCAGTGTATGGCCTGATTTATATTATTGGTCTCCAAATAGATTTATATCTGCCTTTTCATTCATTGTAAGAGGTGGCTCTATGGTAATACATTCATATAGCAAATCTGTAGAACTAACAACAAGTTTTCAAAGAATCTGACTCAGGTCCTAATCCATTTTAGAAAAAGGTGCAGCATTTTGTCATGAAACATTTCAGGATTCTGCAGATGAAATCAAATTTGGAAATGATAGATTTGGGGATATCAGGCAAAGTATTTTATATTGTTCTTCTAAACATTCTTCAAACTGTAGTTATAAACGAATGGTAATATTAAGACTGAATTACAGCAATTCATTAGTAACATTACTCCAGCTAGAACATGCCACTGAGAGGTAGGCTGCTGTAAAGGACAAGTTACTGTTAACAATCTATCCCATTTTGAAGGCACTGCCAAGAATTTGTAGTACATACAAAGTTTGAGGTAGCTTTGAACCTGAATGTTTGATATAACAGTAGTTGTACGTGCCACATTTGTATGGAACTTGCTCTATGGAGACCGAAGTGTGGGAATTTTCACTCCAAGTGCTCCAACTGTGAATTCCCTTAATATTTGACTACAGCTGGCAGAAACTTTTTTAATCTGAGGCATCAATCACTTTTTTTAGTTAAATAGTGGTGCTGTGTATTTCTGACTCAGCTGTGCCTTATCATTGTTTTTAATTCATCACAACCTGTTTTTGAATGGTTTAATGAAAAGGGAGTCAGCGATTTTTAACAAATAAATGAGTGAAAATGCTACCCAATATCCTAAATCGATGAAAGCTCTAAAGGAGAACAAATCTAGGTTAATGTTACATGCCTGAAAATTCTACTGATTTGGATATTTGAATGCAGATAAAACTGCAACAGAAGCAAACTAAAAGAAATCTTAAAAATACGTACTGTTATATAACCTACTTACTTGCGCCATGTTTCTTCAGGAGAAATAGAGACCACAACATCAACTGGTAATGTCATGCTAATATAGTGATGCTCTTTGCTTTCCTTTTCAATTACTGGAGCCAAAGGCTCTAATGAGGTTGTAATTTCCAACATGAGATCAATATTTACTATTGATGGCTGAAAATAAAAAAGACTTTAATGTACAAATCATAATCTAAATTGCTCCAAAGTTTCTGTTTCCTCTAACAGATTGTAGAAAAATGTTAGATCAGAAATGTGGCAGACAGGGAATCCCACCACTTTCCCTAGAGTCAATTTCCAATATAAATTAAATAACTCAATATTGATTCTAAGAGAAAAGGACTAAATATATTATATTTTTCACAAATACTTGCCTAATCAAAAAACAAATTTGGAAATAATGATTTCTTCACATTTCATAGAAAAGTACAACTGCATAAAAAAAAAATCTATACGTACCATCTCTCGTAACTTTTTATCTTTCTTTTTTGAAAATCTCTGCTTGGTGCCCTCTTGTTCAAATCTGGAAAACAATGCCAAATGATTGCATCACAACAAATTATTATACCATCTTCATCTCCACCCACAAAACCATTATTTTTGTCTAGCCATACTCACTGAATAAACTGTAGTATCTCCTTGCAGGCAGAGTCATCTGAAAGCTCAGTTGCCATGGAGTTCATCCCACTATTTGGCCACAAATATACTGAGCTATGACAAATCCTGAATACCAGCACGTCAGAAGCCAGTTTAGCTGAAAGATCCTTGAAAATGTATTTGAGTGCCTCTTTTGTCGACGAGTCTAAAATAAACAAAGAAAAAGAAAAGAAAAATACCCAGGGAATTAGCTGTAGTTTTTACATAGCAAGACTAATTTAGAAAGAAGAAAAGGAACAATTGTGAGCTTATCCATTAACTGAAGAGTGAAAAAAGTGTTCTCAATTAAGCATTTCAACTAAAATAATTTCCTAAATAAGAGCAGAAGACCTGTAAAATGAACTGCATAGACATTGGGGCTTTGGTCCTCAATAACTTGGGAAAGGAGAAAGTTCTATTAAGAAGAGTGGGACTGCTTCTGAATGAATCTGCACAGTTGTACTATTCCAAAAAGAGAAGAATAGAGTAGAGAAGGGCTTCTCATATTAACTTTGCTAAAACAGTTTTTGTTCATACAGTAGAATCAATATTTTAAACTTTTGTACAGGAAGATTCTTTATAGTATAATGTAACACAGCATTTTGTATTTCTACAGACTCACCATCAGTAGTGGCTAATTGAAATGCAAAATCCAAGCCTCCTCTTATTCTAAAAAGTATGTCCATGGTGTCTATGATGACCTATTGAAGTGAGGAGAAAAAAAAACACCAAAGTGTTTCTGGGTTGAACATTTTCACAAATTGTCATGGCTATTGAATCAAAAATTCAAACCTACCATCTGAAAATGCAGCAACTGAATGATTTTCAATTACCATGGGTTTTTTTATCCATAACTGGTTAAATAAGACATATTAGGCTGCACATTATCCTGAGCTATCAAAATATAGGGACTGAATTCACACAACACATTGACCCAAGGTTAGGGATCTTCCAAACCATTCTGACTGATCAAGGTTTTGGTGGGTCTGACAATAATACAAAGTGTGGGGGATTTTGGTACCTATGTGAAAGTGACTTCTTGTTTTTATCTCCCCCCCCCCCTGGTTTTGTGAAGTTTCTTTGTTTTTTTTAAATGTTAAACCTAATTTAGAGTTTCCACTATAATGTTCCTTGCTTCAGAGTAGTAGCTGCCAGTCCCTATTCTACTATTTCTCAATCAGGTGTAGGCAGGATGAATATATCTTTATTCACTTTGTCTATATGTTATAGTTGTTAAGGGGAAGTTTGGCCTTGATCAAAGACCAAACATTTGCAGAAACATTAGCAACATCTAATTTATTTGGAGTCCAGTTATGTAGTAGCACCTAGTTGATTTAATCTTTAATCTGAATAGAATTAAATCTCATTAGTATTTGAACAGACTACCAGAAAATCCCGGACCAGGAATTTGAAAAAAATATTCTGGAAGAAAGTCAATAGTGAATTACTTCCATATTCCTACCAAGAAAATCAAAAGGAGTTGTCTGGGAAGTCCCCAGGAGTTGAGCTCAGGAACTTCATGTAATTAATTTGGAAATAAGTATAGTATTCTTTTATTCCAGTGGAATTTACTTTTAATTAAACTTATAACAAATAGAAACCAAGAAGCAGCATACCCAATGCTATTCCAAATAGTTGTTCTACAGCTATTTACAGAAGAAAGCATGGCCATCATCAAGACAGAATTTCTATCACAAGCTGGGCATTATACAGAAAGATTGGAGCTAATCTGGGCTAACTTTTTGGGGGGAAGAGAGCTACTTTATTGAACTAAACAGATTAAATATAAAAAAAGAACATCAAAATTTTAAAAGTGTAAAGACCATGACAATCTGCTTACAACTAGGTCAGGTATAAACAATTACCAAGAAATATATTNAAAAAGGAACAATGAAATATAGCAACCCCCATTCTCAGATTCATAAATTAGAATCAAATCAAGTCATCTCTGTGCAACCTTTACCACATAACTGTCACAAAATAGTCAAGAATCTATGATGTTTCACCTACTACCTAATATAATGTTCAGGTCTTAATTAATTTATTTACTAGATAGTAGATCTTCCATCCAGCACTTCTTCCTTCCTTCATTTATCCTACCTTTTGTTGAGGAGCCTAGGTGGCATACATAGCACAACTTCCTGTCATTTCCCCCCACAAAAGTGAAGTAGGTTGGGCTAAGAGGGAATGACTGACCTAAAGTCACCCAATGAAATTCTCTAGCTGAGAAAGGAACTAAACCAAGTCTTCCTGGTGCCAATCCAATCCTACATACTACATCACACTGGCTCTTATCTGGGCAGTGTTGATATGGATCCACTAATATAAAGTTGTGAACTGGAGAAGGGTTAGGTGTGAAAAGAGTCTACATAATATTCATTTGCCTATAAGGAGACAGATTAAGTGACACGCCATAGCATTAATTCTGAATAGAGATTACAGGTAGTCCTCGACTTACAACAGTTAATTTAGTGATCATTTGAAGTTACAACAGCACTGAAAAAAATGACTTATGACTGTTTTCCACATTTATAACTATTGCAGCATTTCCATGGTCATGTGATCATATTTATGACAGCTGCAGTGTCCCAGGGTCATGTGATCATCCTCTGCAACCTTCTGGCAAGCAAAGTCAATGGGAAAGCCAGATTCATTTAACAACCATGTCACTAACTTAAAAACTGCAGTGATTTACTTAACTGTGGTAAGAATGGTCTTAAACTTGGACAAAACTCACTTAACAAATGTCTCACTTAGCAACATAAATTTTGGGCTCAATTGTGATCATAAGTTGAGTACTATCTGTATAGAGCTTGATTTTTCACTTGGAAGATGTTTTGGTATTGTTTCCTCCTATAATGTTTTATTCATGAAGGTCTAAATAAAATTATATACTACTCATACAGTAGCTAGGAAAAAAGGAAACATTATGCGTAAATTTCACTATACTAATTATTACACTAACAGTAAAAAATTAGGTTGAGTAAAAGTCATTACTGAGCAAAATAATAGTTTGTTAATGCCCTAAAATTAACTGTCCTAAAGTAATCTAGAATTAATAGGTTTCTGTAGGGTTTTACTACTCAATAACATGATAAAGTGAAAAATGATTACTCATGCAAAGATTGATTGCAAATTCTTGGAAAACTAAGATCTTGGCTTTATCTGTGGTTTAGCAGCCCAAAAGTACAATCTGTTTCTTTAAGAATTTATCTACAAATCCTTATTTATCAATCACTTTATTTTTATACTGGTAGTCCTCAACTTACAACCAGTCATTTAGTGACTGTTCAAAATCACAATGGCACTGAAGAAAAGTGACTTATGATAGGTTTTTACCCTTATGATCATTGCAGGATCTCCATGGTCACATGACTAAAAATTGGGCACTTGGCAACTGGCATGTATTTATGATAGTCTTGGGGTCACAAGATCACTATTTGTAACTTTCCCAGCCAACTTTTGACAAGTAAAGTCAATGGAGGAAATCAGATTCACTTAACACCGCATGATTCAGTTACCAACTACAGTGATTTGTTCAACAACTGTAGCTTTAAAAGGCTGTAAAATGGGATAAAATTTACTTAACATCTGCCTTGCTTAGCAATGGAAATTTTGGGCTGAAAACTGTACTGGATATAAAAGTAAGCTAACACAAAATTGTGGGTAATTACTAAGTAATCTTACCTGACAAAGAGTATCTTTGAAGTTATCCCTAATAGCTGACTCAGCACAAGTTGCACTTCGATAGAACCAATCCATTGGCACGATCCAACAAAGTTGGGTGGCTTGTCTCCAACATTAACAAGTGCCTTCAATCATGTCACAAAAGAGATATGGAATAACTCAGTTGCACAGAATTCTATCAAATCCAATTCAGTAGAGGCCAGGGCTAAGAAAGGGATTTTATTTAAAAAATTAAATTACCCCCAGTGCTTCATACAAAATGAATGCATAATATGTTTCTTGGGCTATTTGCTAAGTACTAGCAGGTCATTCGCAAAATCACACAAATGTCTCACATTTGAATTGCTCCTCCTAGAGTTTATTTATAGCTACTGCGGGATCATTATTAAAATGTAAAAAGTACAAAACCAGCCATCAGGTAGTCCATCCAGCGAACCTAAACTGAAACCTAAACTGACACAAATGAGGAAAAGATTTAAAGCTTGGCGAGAAGCAGGCTTAAGCAAAGATTTGGAAATCTTATGAATTACTGCAGTAATGGAGCACATTTAGAATCTAGAATCTGGAACAAATAGTTAAGACAGGACACCATCAGAAGACTGAGAGCTACATGTGGACACCAAATGTACAGGGGTGTCTGTGCTGGGAGAAAAGAAAATAATCACAATGTTGCAGTGCAAACTCCACTGCTTACATACTTGGGTGCAACATTGCAGTGCAAATATAAAATGGAAATGATTAGTTATGGGACTAGAGAATACTTGCCATAACAATATTTAAATGTAATTAATTATATGTAAATATAGATGAAATCAAATTTGATGTTTGTCCTGACCCCAACGCCACCAATTGTCTATACCAGTGGTTCCCAAACTTGGCAACTTTAAGACTTGGCTGGAGAGCTGGCTGGAGAATTCTGGGAGTTGAAATCCACAAGTCTTAAAGTTGCCAAGTTTGGGAACCACTGGTCTATACTGTATGGCACCTGGCTTGCCCCCAAAGCCAAAGATGCTGCCCACCGCCAAAGATGGCCCTCAGTCTAGAAAAGGCCAGACGCCACTGATTTAGGACTAGTGTGGGCAGAAGTTCTTAAATAAAATATTCCTTCAGGAGCAGCTGTTTTCTGCAGAGAATTCAGATTTAGAAAACATCTATACCTGTTGTATCTCCTTGTGTGTAGGGATTCCTCTGTCTGTGTACCCCTGATGCTTGAACCAGGAACAAACAGTCTGTAGAGATCGATAAGCACAGCCCCATCCATTATCATCAATACAATCTTGCATGTAATGATGATAACTATATGTGCCGTACACTAAATACACCTGTGTCCAAAAAAGAGAGCACAATTTGTACATGTCAGAATAAAAATATTTGCTTTAGAGTTAACATGTTGCCTTTGAGATATATAAATATAATGAAAATGAAGATAATTTGTAGTTACTGACTCCATATTTGAAAGGCTATTCAAGCTAATGAATCATAAAGTTAAGTTAGGGAAGAAGTCTGCAAGTGGGCATTAATGATGATTAAGATGATGGAATGAATTTATCTCTCCTTCTGATGCTTCCAGATGGAGTAGTTGCTATTAGAAGATACCATGGCAGTTATGTTGTCAAATTAAAGTTCTGGAGCAAGGATTCTCCTTAAAAAGCAAGATTTACAAAAAGACATTGTTCTTGATGAACTTTGCAAGATTTCCCAAGATCTCATCAACCTCTCTTGAACAAATATGAATCAAAAGAATGTAATAGTAATGATGGTTGGGTATCTTTAATTTCTTTTTTTTAATATTTTTTTTAATTTTTAATTTAAAACAAATACAATATCCTTCTTTACATGCTATAGAAAGTGTATCAGTTGGTTACAAAAAGACTTTCATGAATCTCTTCCACAGTCAAAAAACATTTCATATTAACTTAAGTATTTTAACTCAAATATTTATACATGTCACCATCATCATCTCTCCATTTTCATTTGANTATTTTGGCAAAGATCTTTTCTTCTTCTTCAGGCATTGCTACACAAGAAAGGAAGGAAAACATAGGCCAGGAGGGTTTTTCCTACCCTCAAGCTGCTTGAAAACAATCTTATAAGACAATAAACAAAAATAAAGCCATGATTCTCAATTCTGTTATCTATTTTTTTTTAAATGATTTTAATTTATTGTCTTCAATTCTGCATTGTTATATATATTTCCTCCAAAATATGCTGCACTGTCTTTATCATAACTTATTTGATTGAAAAATATTATTCACTTTGCAATTTTTTTGCTTTCTATCCTACAAACCTAATTACTAGATGTAAATAAGATCTATTAATAAGGTTTAAACTTCATAATTTCTAAAGCTTGTTCATTATTCTTAAAGGTAAATTCATTTTGGACATTAATAGAAAAAATGGATCTTAGAAATGATTTTTTTCCTATAATCATATGGAAGGAGGGAAGGAAATTATATATATCTCCTGTATCACCCAAACCACAATGTGGTTTATTCATATGGAATTGGAGCGGAAAACCATCCAACCAACCTATGGTTATAGATCAAGGGCTCTTTTTTTAAAAAAAGAAAGCGGTATATGTTTCAAATTGATAGAAGATAATATTTGTAGCACAGGGTTGAACTGTGGGATCCTGGGTGCTCTCTGAGCTTTATGGTTTTCTTGCAGATATTTTATTACCAAATAAGGTAACAAACTGGTTACTTTGTGTGTGTTTGTGTGTGTGTGTTTCTCTGTAGATGGTTAAAGTAAAAATAATTGTAGAGTACTTGAAAAGATGTGATCAAGTAAGAAAAGCCTTTGAAAAAGTAACATAGAGATTGTTTGATATTATTAGTTTATTTGTCCTTGTTTTCCCCCCTTTAAAAAGTTTGAAAACCTGTTTTGTTTTGCTAGCGGAACTTTAAAATATTTTTGTTGTGATTATTGAAAATAGTACAGAATCATTTTCAACCACCATGAAATTATATATAAATAATGCCAATAACACTGTGATAATGGAACTTTTTGCAAGTCTTTCTGCATTTTTACTATGAAAGAATTGACCAAAAATAATTCTGTCAATGCTATAATCTCATTAAAAATTGAGGTTTAAATATAACGCAGAATTTCTAAGAATAAAAATGAAGATGAGATAATTCNAGAGCAGGGCTCATTTCTCCATCATTTTTTTTTATTATTTTGGAAGTCTGGGGAGCGATTTTAGCCAAAAGAAGAATAAAACTAATAAATACTTAGTGCACCTATTTTCGCCATTTTTTTAAATGCTGCAGAGTTTTTGGTGTTCCAGAAGCTGCAAGAATGAATCTAGGGACTGCCCATGGCCTGAGGACTGTCTACACAATTTAATCTATTTACTTTAAAGCAGAGTCCAATATGTGTGTGTATGTACATGTATGTATGAATAAAGATATTCAAAAGTACATCCACCTACTTCATTTGGCCTTAATTCCAATTAAATATAAATAACATTATCCCTTTAATGTATTTTTTTAGAGATGGGGCAGTTACTCTTAGTAGAACAGGTACACTAGGATTGTAACTTGTTTATCTGAAGCAAACATATTTATTATGTTATGTTATATTATTTGCATATTTAATAGAGCATAGAGAATGCTAATCTCTGAATTCTTTCTGTGTCTCAGGTGCGGCATAGGAACCTACTACGGAACAATTAGTGGCCCATGTCCCTTCTTCAGTGCTCAGTTGAAAGATAAGGTTGCATATGTACAACCAGGGAAAAATCTCTATACCAGTCCAGGGAAGAAAGGAACTGGCTATGGGTAAAACATTCTAGAATTATAATATCAAATATATCTTTTTTAAAGGGAAGAGATAGTTGAATGTTGCTGCTATCACTGTTTTATTTCTGTATCTAGGTATCCAAATCTCACCATAGGTAAACCATATACACATTCAGTTGAATTGTTTGACATAGGAAGAATAAATTTTAAGGTAAAATTCAATTGGATTTCTGTTTTATTTTATCTAGGTTGATAACATATCTTATTCCTTCTAATTGGACTTTATTTGGTACCATGCTATAAAATTATACATCATTAATCTTTATTTGATAAAGAAATAAGAATACATTTTATATATTATTTCAATATATGTTCCATTAATTTATTATTTTCTCAACCTTGATAGTTATTTTTGATGCCATCAGTACATTTAATGGTTGGATAGTGGGCTTTTGCAGCTTTCCCTGTTAAGAATAATGTCATCAGTTTAAAAAAAAATATAGTAATGGTCCCAGAGGTGGTATGGACTGTATTATAGCAAAATATGGATTTATCCTTAATGTGAACCTGTTTTAAAAAGCCCTTTAAGTGGTGAAGAAAGGGAAAGCTATGCTGCTTTTTTACTACTTCATTGAATTTTCTTCTTGTATATATTTGCTTTGATGTTTTGATGTCCAAGGTCCTGCCTTCTATGTATTTGGTTTAGTATTTATAATGCTCATTAACATTAATTTCCTATCACATTGCATTTATAACTTCAGAAATGCAACCCCATGTACATTTTCTCAGGAATAATTACAGCTATGTAGAACTTATCCAGAAATATGTAAACATAGAATTGCAACCTTAATGTTGCCCCTAGTTTTGGTTAAGGAGTAGAAGAGCCCAATGTGACATTTTCCATTTCTAATTTGCCCAGAAAATATCTGAAGAACATCGTCATCTGATGAAAGGTGGACCATTCAAGCTAAATCTTTATCCCCGAGAATATTTCGATACAAATCCTTACCATGATGAAGGGCCGATTCCGCCACCAAAAAAGCAACCTGAAAAAGTACCCATTCCACATCCTTTTAAGCCAAGTTCTCCAGCTAAAAAGGTATGCTTGTTAATAGTTAAACTTCTCAAGAAAATTTTACTGCAGATATTTTTGTTTAGCAAAGAAAAGCCAAGAAATGTGTGATATTTATTGCAATGTAAAGGGCTATATTTATTGGGGAAAAATAAAACCCAATTAATTTTGGAAAACAGCAATCTATGTGCTCATCAAAGTTATGGAATCATCATAGCTTTTTCAGATTTAATCCAAATAGAGATCCAAGAAGTGGCCCATCCTGGAACCCCTTCCTTTACGTGGGGCAGATCTAGAAAAACATAATTAAAAACAAAATCAGCAAAAAAAAAAAAAGAATTTCCATAGATGTTCATCTGTGATAAACCAAAATCAAATAATCACTCTCATGCTTAAATGTGTTGAATGAATCAGGATCCTTAATTTTACATCTGGGTGTGGCTAAAGCAACGTATGTAGTCATGAATAAGGTAGAACAAACCTCAACTTGGTTTGGCCATAATATGAACAAAGGCTGAAGTCCTGTTCCACTTCCCACACAATATTATGAAAATTGAATAAATATACACTATATTGGCAAANCGGAGCACGTTATAAACTGCCTAAAGGCTATGCATGTCCTTTTTTTTGACAAAATATGGGCCTGTTTTTTGCTTGGTTTTGCTCTATCCCACCCCACCCCTCAGGAGCACTCTACAGGCCTCCTAAAGGCTATTCATGACCATTGTTTGACAAAAAATGGGCCCGTTTTCACGAAAAATGGGCCATTTTGGGGGGTCTGCAGAGTGCAAAAAGTATTTTTTTTAATTTGCCACTTCAAAATCTCGGTGTGTCTTATACTGTGATGTGTCTTATACTCCAAAAAATACGGTAGCTATATATATTCAGAATTAATGTAGTGTAAAAGAATAGCAATTACTAATTGCTCATAGATATGAAAAGCTGTTATAAAAAAAAAATATTTATATAACAGGAGAGATTTAAAAATGTTTAGTTTTAATAATGCATTATTTTTAAATAATATACATATCACATAGCATCTGAAATACATATGCTGAACTCTTGCCAATTAGATGCAAATATTCAGTAGTCTACCCACATAAGTACTGGTGAATTTAGCTTGCCCTTGAAGAACTAACTAAGAATTCACCTTTTGGCAAACTCGGCCGCTTTTATAAAACATTTTCTTTTGTAATAATACTCCACCAAATGGCCTTTAGCATAGACATTTCCTCGATCTGATGCCTGATTGAGGCACTCCAAAGCAGCCTTCAAGTTATGACGTACGCCATGTCCGTGAAGATACATAATCCCAAGGATGCCTTGAGATTCCAAGCTTCCATTCCCACAAGCTTCTGAGTGCCAAAAGAATGCCTGCAGAAAAACAATTTTCCAAAAATCATTTGGGCGGGAAGAAGAAAAAGATTTTTGCTATATTCAAGCTATGTGGACTAATAGATGCAGAGCCAAGGATTATGCTTCAGGTTTAGTAACTGCCTCTGTAGCTACCCAGAAATATGAAATTGTCAATCTTCAAAATGGCAGTGATACTATATATGTAGCTTACATTCTTTAGCAGTTGCCTGTGCTGTTTAGATAGAAAATAATCCTGTTTCATTATTCTGAAAAATGAGATACCATATTTGCAACTTAAAATAAATGTAATGTTTTTATATACATAATTCTATTTCCAAGCTGCCAGATATTTTGTTTAGGTCTTAAAACAACAGTGAAACATAGTACTATTTTTTTAGCCAATAGATAAAAAAGATAAATCAAGAATGTTGTTTGAGCCTTTGACCCAAAATCATCCAGTGAGAGTCTGTGGCTGATGGTAGATTAACCCTGGGTTTCTCCAGTTCTGGTCCAACTCCTTAATCACTATATTATATTGGGTCTCTGTAGTTCTGTAGATTTTCCCAAAATCTTGCTGCCTCTTCTTTACATTTCCAAATGGAAAGAGACTTCATTTGGTCAGTTGGATGCAGGGCTTGGAATAAAGCTACCCCAAAGACAAAGCTACCTTTTTAAGATCCTTAGCATTTGCTGAATACAACATTCCAAGTGTACTCTGAGCCTTTACACTTGCTTTTGGGTTCCCATGATCTGCAGCAATAAACCATAATCTAGAAAACAATAGCAACAGTGATGTGATTAGATTATTCCTTTTTTCATTCATAGCCATGTGGAAGCTTCTCAGATGAGATGAACTTAACAGTTCTTCAAAAGTCATCAAACTGTAACTAAGCAATCCCACCCAGCATAACCAATGCTAAAGCATTTTGGGTGTTGTAGTTCAACATCACTGGGAAGAGCACTAGTCTCTTATCCATGCATTGACATCAAATTGGAACAACAGCCGTGAACTTATTTTAATTGTTAACACACTTCTCCATCTAGAAGCACCCAAGGATGATGCCTCAAAATGGGGACATTTATGCTGAAATCATGGCTCAGACTATATTATTATAGTTTGCTCCAAAATTATCAGGCTGATATGCCCATACATGGATGCATTATAAAGAAAGGTTACCTTTCAGCTTCTTCTTCAGAAAATTGAGTCCCACGTCCTTCGTAGTAAGCTCGGCCAAGGTTGTATGCAGCAGCAAATTTTAAATGTCTTGCTTTAGGGGAGTCAGAGTCGAGAATCTTCCTCATATATTCAACTCCTTTCTTCTACAGGTGAACCAAAGCAAAGAATAAGTGATCCTGTCAAGACATGAATCACTTGTGAACAAGCAGCCCACTTGCATTCAGACCAAGTAATGAAAGGGTCTGTTGTTTGAGATGAAATGTTACAACATTTAATTGATGGAGATATGATGCCAACAGCAATTTATATTGAGCTGAAACCCAGAGGATCCCCCCAAATGAGCAAAAAATGGACTCATTTTTGTCAAAAAAATAGGGCATGCATAGCCTTTAGGAGGCTTATAGAGTGATCCTGGGGGCTGGGGGCCCAAATTGAGCAAAAAATGGCCTATTTTTCGCTCATTTCTGCTCTCCCCAGTCCCAAGGAGCACTCTGCAAGGCTCTTAAAGGCTATGCACAGCCATTTTGGTGAAGGGAGTGGGGGGTTGGGAGGCACAAAATGCTGTATTCAGTGTATAAGACACACCCAGATTTTCAACCTCTTTTTTGAGGGAAAAAGGTGTATTTTATACTCCGAAAAATATGATATGTCAGTTTGATTCTGAACGGCTCAAGGTTGACTCAGCCTTCCATCTTTCCGAGATCGGTAAAATGAGGAACCCAGATTTTTGGGGCAATATGCTGACTCTATAAACTGCTTAGAGAGGGCTGTAATGTCCTATGACAGTGATGGCTGACCTCTTTGTCGTCGCGTGCCAAAAACACCCATAATGCAATACATGTTTGAATCCCCCCCACATAGACCCCAACCCCCCCACATGTGTGTGACTCCCCTGTGCATCATCCCCATGCATGCATGTACAACCCCTGCACATGCACGCATGACCCTCCTGCGCTCCTCCCAGCCCTGCACATGCACAATTACCCTGGCAAGCAACACCCCATGCATGCATGTGCGACCCCACACACACGTCTCTGGCATGCGCCCTGCGTATGCATGGCAGAGACCCGAAAACTAGCTGGCCAGCAGGAGGCGCACGCATGCGCACTGGAGCTTAGCTGGGGAGACGGCTTGCGTGCCTGCTGAGAGAGCTCTGCGTGCCACCGGTGGCATATGTGCCATAGTTTTGCCATCACAGCCCTATGAAGAGGTATAAAATTTTAAGTGATGTTGCTATTTCAATTACAAAGCAGTATAATCTTTAGCAACAATTATCGAAATTCAAAGCAAGAAATCTTGTATAAATGAGCTTTTATAAAAAGGACTTTTCATTTCAGAAAATCATAATGAAGGTCTGGCTTTGAAAATTAAGCTATTGCTACCCTAACAAAACGGGGTTGCGGTGGCTCAGTGGGTAAGAAACTGAGCTTGTCGATCAGAAAGATTGACAGTTCGGCAGTTCGAATCCCTAGCACCGTATAACGGAGCTTTCATTACTTGTCCCAGCTTCTGCCAACCTAGCAGTTCGAAAGCACATTAAAAATGCAAGTAGAAAAATAGGGACCACTTTGGTGGGAAGGTAATAACACTCTGTGTGCCTTCAGCGTTTAGTCATGCTGGCCACATGACTACAAAGACTACAGAGTCTCTGTAGACGTCTTTGGACAGTGCTGGCTCTTTAGCTTTGAAACGGAGATGAACACCACCCCCTAGAGTCAGGAACAACTAGCAAATACATGCGAGGGGAATCTAACTTTACCTTACCCTAACAAAATACATTTTAAGCCAGCTGGGGAAAGTTTTCCATATTAATAGTAATCTCAAATCTGCCCTCTGCCATTTGTGGCTTTGAATTTACAAAAACCTTAGCAGATTCACCTTAAGCTTTGTGGCCTATAAGTTTAGAGATGGTTGCCTCTCATAGGTTTTCATAAACCACTTGTTTAAACTCATCATTTACACTAATAGATGCCTACAGGGATCCAAATATATTCAAGCAGTCATCATCTCTATCATCAAGTCACAGAGAAATAGATCTCTGTTACTCAGAATCTTTGCTTTCTTTATTGCACAAAAAATTGTGTGGAAATCCCTTTTCTGGCCTCACTACTTTTGAAAACAATGATTTCCAGGGGGTAGTGATGAAAGTGGCAGCATAGTGACACAAGCTAGCCCCTTTTTTACATGTATTGTGAGACTACAAAGAGGGCAAAATGTGTTGTGTGATGCTGTAATGCTGCTTTCATCACTGACAAAAGGAGCTGGCTCCTGCAGATAGCTATGATTCGAATCATGCTCTCTCTGAAACCTAACCCATTGTCTACATAGATCTACACTGACAGTTAACTTAACTGTACACTCTAGTGTACACTCTAAAACAAATAAGTCATTTGAATAGACAGTTTTTCCAACTATAACAAAGCATGATGTTTTGGATTTCACATCATGAACTTAACTTTACAGCCATGTTTATGACAGGTATGTATATTAGTTTTTAATCTAACATTCACTCCAATTTAAGACAAGTCTATTCAATAATAAAAATGACAAGGAAGACATAGTTCAGCTGCAGTCATATATTTCTTGGGAAAGAAAAGCACGTCCCTTGAATTTTCATTATTAAAAACAATTGACTGCTTAGTGTAGTTAATTGGCAACTGTATAATCTCAAGGCATACATTTATTAAACATTTGAAAAATAGGTAATTTGAGGATCCATAAATGAACACAACTTAGTCCCTGAAGAGAAGAGAATATCACAGTTAGAAGAGACCTTGGAGGTCAAGAGTCTAACCACTTCCTCAAGCAAGAAACTCTTTACCCTTTCAGATAAATAGCTGTCCAGTCTCTTCTTAAAAGCCTCCAGTGATGGAGCATTCCCAATTTCTGGTTGATTATTCTCACTGTCAGGAAATTTCTCGTTAGTTCTAGGTTGGAACCCATTTTGATTAGCTTCCATCTATTGTTTCTTGTCTTTGCTTTGGGAAATAAGTTGATCCCCTTTCTTTGTGGCAGCCCTTCAAATATTGGAACACTGCTATTGTGTCACCCCGATCCTTCTTTTCATTAGACTAGCCATACCCAATTTCTGCAACCGTTTATCACAAGTTTTAGTCTCCAGGCCCTTATCATTTTTATTGCTCTTCTTTGCATTTTATCCAAAGTCTCAACAACTTTTTTTATAATGTGATAACCAAACCTGGAGACAGTATACCGGGTGAGATCTTACTAAAGCTTTGTAAAGTGGTGCTAGTACTTAACATGATCTTGATTCTATCTCTGTTAAGTCATCCTAGGAGTGCATTGGCTTTTTTGGCTGCTGCCACACACTACTGACTCATATTTAAATGATTACCCACCAGGACTCCAAGAATTCTTCCACTGCTATTGTGCAAATTTGTACCTGTACTTTTTGTTTGTCTTGCCTAAGACTGTACTTTTCTCTACACTGAATTTTATTTTATTGGATAGGGTCTAAAGTTCAAGTCTCTCGAGATCCATCTGCCAGCTTAGTGCCATCTGCAAATTTGATGAGTTGCCCTTCTATTCCTTCATCTAATTAGTTTATGAAGATATGGAAAGGACTGGACCTAAAATGGAACCTTGGGATACCCCACTNCCAGAGGATCATTGGTTGCCCTCTCTCCTCTTTGGAAGAGCTTTATAGCTCCTGCTGTCTTAAGAAAGTTCAAAACATTCTTAAAGATCCATCTCATCCTGGGTATCCTTTTTTTTTTTAACTATTACCCTCTGGCAGATGGTACAGGATAATATAAACAAGGACAAATAGGTTGAAAAACAGCTTCTATCCCAGGGCAGTAATTATACTGAATTCTACAGTATAGTGCAATATTAATGCAATGTCGGATTTTCAATTTCAATTGTACAGAATGTGAAGGATGTGCGTTTGTGTTTTTATTTTCATAGTTATAATGTACACTAAAGATGGCATTTAATTTCATTGTACGATGTGGAATGACAATACACTAAACTAAACAACTAAACTAAAGTAAACTGAAGTAAACTAAACTAAACTAATCAAACAACAGCTTCATTAGTTCAAAGTGAGACTTGATTTGGCTACTTACAGGGTCATTTTTTCCCAAGCCGCTCCTTTAGAATGAACGGCCAAAATATGCTCCTTTCTTATCTTAATGACACTCGCTCTCCTTCCCCTTTCCCATATAAATCCACATTGCTTCCTGAAAGCAGCTATTTATATCAGGTTGAGCATGCTCTGAGTGTCAGTTTGTCCCACTACAGAAGAGAATTTCTGTTATCTAGTGGCTGGCTGGTGATAATGTGTCGGGCTGTTCCTTGGCTTCTGAGTGCTGGGAAAGAATGCTTTGTCCTCTGTCTTCTGATATGTTAGGAAAATTTGACCCTAGATGCAAAGAAGTACCCCTCACTGAACCAGTTCTGGTTTGGGGCTGATGCCATCCTCAAAATGCTACTTAAATGCTCTATATTAGGCCCAGGATACCTGCGAGACCACCTACTGCCACCGGTAGCCTCCCACTGTCCAGTGCGATCCCACAGAGTTGGCCTCCTTAGGGTGCCATTGGCCAGACAGTGTCGGCTAGCGACCCCTAGGGGGCGAGCCTTCTCTGTGGGAGCGCCTTCATCTGTGGAACGATCTACCCCCTGAGATCCGGACCCTCCCCACTCTCTCGGCCTTCCAAAAGTCTACGAAGACCTGGCTATTCCGGTAGGCCTGGGGCTGTTGACCCTTGATTGAGTTCCAGCCCCACTAAGGTTGAGTGTATGTTGTGTTCTTTTAACTTGCTTTGTCTTTGTATTTTAAATTTTTTAGTATTTTTAAAATTGTTGTTATGTAAGCCGCCCGGAGTCCTTTGGGATTGGGCGGCATACAAATTCATTAAATCTTAAATTCATTAAATCTGGAATGAGCTGCCCCCGGAGCTTCGTATAATCCCCGACCTTCGGTCCTTCCGACGTGCCCTAAAAAGTTGGCTTTACCAACAAGGTGGCCTGGCCTGAACAAAACAAAATAAATTATTGTTCATTGCCGTATTCCAAGTGTGGCCTTACCAGGGCATTATAAAGTGGTATTAAGACTTCACGTGATCTGGATTCTCTCCCTCTGTTGATGCAGCCTAGAACTGTGTTGGCTTTTTTGGTA